TGTGGACAGCTGGTCTCTGGTGTATCTGGGAGGCAGTGATCTTTGTGGACAGCTGGTCTCTGGTGTATCTGGGAGGCAGTGATCTTTGTGGACAGTTGGTCTCTGATGTATCTTGGAGGCAGGGTGTTTGTGGACAGCTGGTCTTTGGTTTATCTTGGTGGGGTCATCGGAATAGGTGCAAAAACAGGCAGGACAAAGATTTGGCAGCCATCAGCAAGCAGTGAGAGCTGAAACCCCAAGCTGAAAGTTCTCAGGGTATGTGTAAGAGCGTGTTTATGGGGGATGTGCTCACCACCCTCCACACATACACCTGCTCTGCATCTGGACATTTCCAGGAGGGGCTCAGCAGGGAGGATGGCCTGGGCCTGGCTTTTGAATCATCCTTTTAGTTCCTACAGTTAATGGCCTCATCCTTATCTTTGATTCTAGAAAAACCCAACAGGACATCCAGATCAAGAAGGATGGCAAGTGTTGAACCCAGAGGTGCACTCAAGCCGTGCAACCTCGAGCTGGAGAACGTGATGCTCCAGAGGCTATGGTGGGAAATAAAAGATGCAGCCCAAGCCGGTGAAGTGGACCAGTCTCTGGGAACTCTGGGGAGGAGGTGGCAGCGGATAGACTCAGCCTAGCCCTCCCAACTAAATCTGTTATCTGCTACCCTGGTCCTCAACCTTGTCACAGGTCCCAATAGAGCTCTCAGTTACCTTCCGTCTGCTAGAGGTCAGACTCTGACCCCAGGACACTGCCCAGTGCCCCACCTACCTCAGGCCAAGAACTTAAGAGATAAGCATCCTGAACTGCCGAGTGTGGATCAGTGGCACCTGAATCCATGCACGAATTTCTTCTGGGCTGACTGGCGCTTGGAGGCAGACTGACAGACAGAGACAGACAGACAGACAGACACAGACACACACACAGACACAGACACACACACACAAGCTTGACAAGGCATGGCAGGCATACAGGCAGTATTTACTGTACAACTGAATTGCTTCTTATAATATCAAACTATTTTGTTTTTTGGATTGAAACTGTCTTAAATGTGGAACCCAGGCTGGCTTTAAACTCTCAGGCCTCCTGCCCCAGCCTCCTGAGCGCTACAAACTAGGTGTTTATTAGTAAACATTCAAAACTGAGCAATGTTCCATGCCCTGTTCCTGCACAGCTCACCCAGAGAGCCCTGGATCTCAGGTCCAGGCTCATGTCAGCTCCTAGCATAGCAGAGTGACTGGAAGACCCTCCCTGCCCAAGTTAATATTTACTTTGACTGGCTGAAATTAGATATGATCGTACAGGCACATACATCCCAGAAATCCCAGGTACTCCAGCCCAGAGGTTCTCAATGCTGCGACCCTTTAGTACAGTTCCTCATGTTCTGATGACTCCCCCAACCATAAAATTATTTTCATTGCTGTATCACAATTTTTGCTACTGTTATTAATCATAATGTAAATATCTGATATGCAACCCCTAGAGGGGTCATGACCCACAGGTTGAGAATCACCGCTCCAGCCCATAGTATATGCTGAATAACCTTAATTGGCCAAAACCTATGGAAGCATTTTTGCTTTTTTATTTTGAGACAGTCTGTGTAGCGTTGGCTGGCCTGGACTTGCTATGTGGATCAGGCTAGCCTCAAACTCATGAGATGTCTGCCTGACTCTGCCTCCTGAGAGCTGGGATTAAAGGTGTGCATTATGACCCTCCGCAAAATTAGATTATTATACATATATGGATGTCTGTGTATGAAGAGGCCAGAAGGGGCAGGGGATCCCCCTCCCCCGAGAACTGGAGTTATGGTTGTGAGCTGCCATGTGGGTGCTGGGAATTGAACCCAGCTCCTCTGCAAAGCAGTCAGTGCTTTTAACCACTGAGTCATCTCTTCAGCTAGAAGCCTCTTGATATGATGGCAGGGTAGTGGAGTGTGGAGGGGCCTGGCCAGGGGGTAACAATTCACTCAGGTTCAGATTCCTGCTCTAGGGGTGTAAAAAGGACAGAAATGCTCTGGAATGGCACATCTGAGGAAAGCCAGTCAAGAAAAGCAAAACCCCAGCATCCCCTGGAGCAGTGAAGTGAGACAAGCAAGCAGTGGATGCTGATTCACAGGTGGCAGGGGCTTCCGTCAGCTGCCAACAGATTTTCCATCGCTATGACCAACTGGTTCCCACCTGCAACTCAACGGTATAGGATTAAGTATACCCTTATCCTAGCCAAACCAAACACAAACCACAAGAGGAGCAGGCTTAACCATGAGGACGCTCCTTCTCCTCACACAGGTCTGTGCCGACCAGCAGCTCCGTGCTTCCGGAGCCGCTCCGTGCTCCCGGAGCCGCCCCATGCTCCCGGCTGTTCCTCCATCACCTTCCCTTCAGCCTGTCTCCGTATGAGGCAGCTGCTCCGATGGCAGCCACCATCTACACTCCACAGATGAGGCAAGGGCACCACCTACCTCCAGAGGTACTGCATTCCACACGGGCACAGTATGCTCGCTCATATCCCAATGTCTACAATGTCACCGCTTGGCCAGTTAACAGCAAGGAGACTGAGAAATCTAACCCTAGGCTCTGTTAAACTAAAGATTAGGAGTTAGTGCAGGAGGGGAAGGTGGTACTGCTGGCATCTGGAAGTTTCCATCTTAGGTGGCAAGTCTCTCTTACATACACACATAAACCAGAGCAGCCGAGCATTTCCTTGGTGACCATTCCTTCTTAGGACTCCTCCAAGGAATCACCAAGAGTAAAACTTGAACAATCTTCCTGACACCCCACTGGAGGAATGCATAATTCCCCATCTACATTTGTGGTCTGAAATGTAAGCGTGAGCCTCTAAAGACGCTACAGTGGGGGTTTTTGTTTTTAGGGAAAAGGTGTTGATGCAGGGGTGTTACTGAAGACAGAACCATGGCCTTGCACATGCCAAGCAAACTACCACTGAGCTACATCTCTACATCGCGCTAAAGACTCTTCCTATGGCACATGACCGTGTTGACCATTGCCGAGTGGTTGAAAGATTCTTCTTCAGGTCTAGGAAATAAACAGAAGAAAGTTCCTCTGGGGTTGCTGATAGCCAGGTTTCCTATCTTGAGGGAATGCGAGGGCACAAACAGACGGGGTGAGGCCTGACGGTGGGCAATGCTGAGTTCCCGAAGCCCAGCTACTCTGGACCTTCCCAAAGCTGCATGGTATAACTTGGCTGGTATCTTGCCCAGTTAAAACTACTTTTAGTTAGTTAGTTAGTTAGTTTAGTTAGTTATTGGTTTTTCAAGACACAGTTTGTCTGTGTAGCCCTGACTATGCTGTAACTTACTCTGTAGACCAGGCTAGCCTGAACTCAGAGATCCATCTGCCTCTGCCTCCCGAGTGCTGGGATTAAACAAGTGTGCCACCACCGCCTGGCTTAATACTTACAATTTTTGAGACAGGGTCTTATCAATAGCCCGGGCTGGCTCTGAACCCAGGACCCCCTATCTCTGAAGAGCTGGGTCTATAAGCAGCTATCTGCCTATAAAGAAGTTATGGGCTCCGCTCACGATTCTCCTTCACTTTTTCTCTTTGGAATTGAGTCTCCGGTACTTCACATAAAAAGAAGTGCCCATCACCACATGGAGAAAGGCTTCTCCGAAGAGGGTTAGCAGTGCTGGGGCCATCTGCAACCCCAGCACTTGGGAGGCCGATGTAGGAGGACTACACTTTGATACAGGCTGGGCCACACCTTCAATGATGACCACAGAGGGAGGAGGAGGACAAATCAACACTGAAGCTGCAGCGAAGGGCAAGAGAAAATGCTGGCTAACATGCGAGCCGTCTTCCAGCTCCGAGGCTGGAGGACTAGTTTGTAGAATCACACTCCTTTTTCATCCGCCCTGGGTGGGACTGATCAAGTCCTAGGAAAGTGGGCAACTGAGAGGGGTACCCTTTCCTTGGCCTGAGACAGAGCCATCCTGTGCGTAAACAGGTCTGTGTGGATAGGGCCTGTACCCACGGCCACCATGCTATGCATCCGCAGTCTAAGGCTTAGGGCCTCTTTTCTCAACCTTTAAATGAGAAATCTGCCGATGCTATAAATCCCAATGCAGACAAGAGCGCTTCCACGGCCAAGCACAGCTGTGGGAATTCCACACTCACTATGGATGTGTACTCTCAGCATTCATTTGAAAACTTACTAACACTAGGTAACACGCTTGACCTGTTGTCAAGACAAAACTCCCCACCAAGGCAGCTGCAGTCCCGGGCTAGAGGTTAAAGGTAATCGAATGACCCCACAGGTCACGGCCTGTGGCAAGTGCTGTGAGGGGAAGCTACAGGAAGCACGGGAGGTACCAGCTGGGCCTCAGTAGTCTCAGGGGGGGGATTTCCCCACGGAAGAGACATGTAATGATGGCCTGAAAGATGGACAGGAGTCAGGTGACAGAGGAGGAAGAGGAGCAGAGGAAAGCTGGTGAGAGGCTGTCCACACAGCAGCAGGGGCAGCAAAGTCCCCAGAGCAGGAGACAACACCATCACTCGGGGGACCTGAAAGACCAGAGTGGCTGACAAGTGGGGGCTGAGATGAGGTGAGAGGAGACAGAGGAAAGGACTTTTGTCCTTCCTTCTGAAAGGTATGATGAGGTTGAGACAGAGTCTCACAGCGTGGCACAGGCTGGCCTTGAACTGATGGCAATCCTCCTGCATCACTCTCTGGTGCTAGAATTATAAGTGCAAGTTACCGAGCCGGACTGTAGGTCTTGATCCTAAGAGGCCCCGGAGCCACTGGAGGCTTCCAAACAGAACTCTCACGTATTTCAGCATCACTCAGGCTGCTCTGGGGAGAATGAACTGGAGAGGGGGCGGATCAATTATCTTGCTATTGTGTCCTGTGGCTATGACAAATACCCTGACAAAAGCAATTTAAGGGAAAAGGGGGTTATTTGCTCCTAATTCCAGGTTAGTTCCTCAGGGCAGAAAGTCACAGGAACTTGAGGAAGTTGGTCGCACAGAACCGACAGTAAAGCAGAAGGAAGGAGGGGTGCAAGCATGCTGGTGCTCGGCTTGCTGCTTCTCCTCATACAGTTCAGAGTCCTCTGCCTAGGGGATGGTGTCACCCACAGTGGACATGTCTTCCCACCTCAGTGAACATACTCAAAATAAGCCCCTCAAAGACATCTTCACAGGCCAACCCAGTCTAGACGATCCTTCAATGAAACTCCCTTCCCAGGTAGTTTCAGGTTGTGTCAGGTTTACAAAACTAACCTTCCAGGGGCTGGGGATGACCGCTCTGCAGTTAAGAGCATATACTGCTCTTACAAGAGAACCTGAGTTCAGTTCCCAGCTCTCACTTCAGGCAGCTCCTGGCCACCTGCTCCAGGGGAACCCAGCACCTCTGGCTTCTGTGGGTACACACACACACACACACACACACGCACACACACACACACACCCCACAGTTTATAAAAAACAGAACAAAACTAACCATATTAATATAGATCGATACAGGGTATAACCAGAAAGCTAGAATAAGAGAATAAGTATGTATGACCCCATGTCAATTAGGAGGAAGAAAAGAGAGGGATTAAAAGCATTGGCTCTGTTTGGAAGATGTTAGCCTGCTTTCCTAGCATGCACAAGACCCTTAGTTTGTTTCTTAGCACTACAGAATGAGAAAGAAGAGGGTTGGTAGGGGAGAGGGGGAAGGAAGAAAGGAAGAAAAAGAAAGAATGATGGAGGGATGGCTTGGCAGTTAAGAGCACTGGCTGCTCTTGCAAAGGACCGGGGTTCAATTCCCAGCACCTATATGGTAGCTCACAACTGTCTCTTAACTGCAGTCCCAGGGGATCCGATGCTTCCTTCTGGCCTCTGCAGCCACCAGGCACATACCTGGTGCACAGACATGCATTTAGTCAAAATATCCATACACATACTACAAATGAAACTTTTAAAAAAGCACCCAGCTTTGTGCTGTGGCTCTGCCATCTTTCCCATTTCCTCCACCTCTTTACTATGTGAGGATTAGACCACTAAAATATACGAAGAACAGTATCTAGTGCTAAGTAACTTTATGTGTTCGTGTGTGTGCAGGGGCTAGAAGACAACCTCAGAATTTGTTCCAAGAGCCATCCACACTGTTTATTCTTTTAAAACAGGGTCTCCCAGTGGCTAGACTGGCTGGTCAGTGAGCCCCAGGGATCGGCCTGTCTTTACCTCCCTAGTGCTAGGATTATAAGTATGTACCACCACTCTTAGCTTTAAAAACAAACAACCAAACATGGGTTCTGAGCATCAGACTCGGGTCCGCTTGCTGTGTGACAAACACTTCATCAACTGAGCTCTCTCCCCAAGCCCCACAGTAACCTGCTAACTGTGACCCAGGGCCAAACAGCTGCCACAGAAAACTGGGAACGGGCTGGGCTGGGCCCCGAGTCCTGTCTACTGTTCACCTCTCCTACCACCAGGTCTGATGTCTTAGCTACCCAGTCCTAAGTCCCTGGGACTTCAGTGAAGCCCTCTGTAACAAGATGGACCTCAGGGAGCCTGCTGAAAGCCTGTCTCCTGAGTACTGTGCTAAAGAATGAGCCGGCAGCAACTGACGAGCTTAAAGGATTCTAACACATAGAATCACTCTCAACTTCATCAAACGTAAATGCTGACAAGCCACAAATCTTTGCTTTCTCACACAACACAAAATAAACACTGTACACAGTCATGTATACCTATAATTCAAGAACTCGGGAGGCAAAGGATGACAAGTTCAAAACCAGCCTAGGCTGTATAGCAAGACTGTGTTCAAAGGAGGGACATACACACACCCACGCACGCAGGCAGACACATGCATGCAGACACACACACACACACACACACACACACATACACACACACACGGACAGACGGACAGACGGACAGGCGGGTGGATGACCGGCCAGCCGGACATACACGGAAGAGAGAGAGAATATTCCAAATATTTTTGTGCTTGATAACAACATACAAGTTGGTTTTAAAAGCAATGGAGGAGCTGGAGAGATGGCTTAGCAGTTAAGAGCACTGGCTGCCCTTCTAGAGGGGCCAGCCCCCCATGACAGTTAATAACTACCTCCACTCCAATTCCAAGGTGATACAACGTCCATCCTCTTTGGGCCCACATGGGCACTGCATGAACACAGTACACAGGCATACATGCAGGCAAAACACCATATACACAAGATTAAAAATAGTGTAAAAATATTAAAAACAACAACAACCTAATGGAAGTGGAAGTCCACAAAATCAGCAGGAATAGCCTCCCAGGAAACCTCCAGCCCAGAGGGTATGGTTAATAGAAGTTGCCATCTGGCTTCACCCACTTTACACTCTTAACTACTGTCTGTTCCTTCCTAAGCCATGGTTTTGAACTGGTTCCAGGCAGAGACTCAGTTGACACTGGGTTCTTAACAGTCTGGAGACTTGTTTGGGGGCAAGGTTGCACACATACTAACCACAGGACCCATCTTAGAATAGCACCTTGAAGCCGGGCACAGTGGCACTTGCCTTTAACCCCAGCACTTAGGAGGCAGAGGCAGGTGGATCTCAGGTCTACATAGTCAATTCCAGGACAGCCAGAGCTACACAGTGAGGACAAGGTCTTTAAACAATCCAGTCAGATGTTCTGAAATCAAGTCACAGCAGGACAGAAAGGCACTCTGTGACTGTCCACGTGCCAAACTTCTATCCAACATTCCTACCTGGATGCACCTGCCTGGTGATTCTGGTTTTACATCTACACAGTGAGATCACAAGGTCACGAATCTGAAGACTAGGGTGCCCCACAAACCTGGACTAGCTCCAGATGAACTGGAGCTCTTCCCAGCCCAGAAAGTGCCTGGATGTCAAGAGCTAGTAACTGCTGGGCAGGAAGGCCTCTCTCCTAAAGGGCAGCTGCCGGACAGCGCGGGCACACAGAGCCAGAAGGAGACAACAGGAGCCCTACTTCAGGGCGCAAAGGCAGCACTTTTTCATTGAGAACCGATAGAGGGGCAGGGAAATTGATATTTGGCCAGTTGCCTCTGGCAGCCCCGGAGAAACAAGCAGCTTCTGTTCCGGAGGGCAGAGCCGGGGGCTGCTCTTCAGCCAGCACAGGCACTCTCCGGCACACTTCATTCAGCAAGGGCCAAGTTTGCAGACTGCAGCCGCTCCGTCTCCTGGTAGATGTACTGCTCCACCGTGTCACACTCAGCTAGGAACACCTACAAGACAGACGCAGGCAGTGAGCCCCCAGGCCCGCCTAGGACCAGCCAGCCACTGCCCACACAGGGCTCTTTGTTCAGCCATTCTGGGGAACCTGATGATTAGCCTCTCAACAGGCTGTGCAGGGATGGACACGGACTCCCAGTCTGGACTCCAAGGATAGTGAAACACTGGGCCATGGTTTCTGACTATGCCCTAGGCTAACCGTCCACAAGGGGGCACTAGACACACCAATGGCCCTTACTAAGGACCTTTGCCAGCCCTATCTGCTCTCCAGCGAACTTGCCCAAACTGATTAAATCAAATACACGGGGACAAGAATCCCCTTCTTGGGTTCGTGCTAATAAACGAACAGTAATAACAGACCATGCCTCTCACCACAGTTCTACACTACCCTGTTTTGAACAGATAAACACACTTACCAACATTCTAAATATATTACAGCCTGTCATGTACTCATATAACTCACCTGAACCTTTTTTACCAAATTCTTCCTTTTTAGCCTGCTGTCTTTAAAATTTTCTGGTAGGACCTATGGAAGAACCAGTTCACACAAAAAAATTAACATCTGCAGTAACAATGACAAGAGACACTGGCAGTCCATACAACACACCCAACAGGTCACCAATGTCAGTCAAATGTGCACTTCCAGGTGTCACTTCTCCCAGTCTGCGTCCTATGTGGCTCCTTTCTTGGCTCTCATTCCTATGAATGCTCTCTCCCTTGGTTGCAATATCTGGTCTGTAACCTGATCTAAAACACAGATTTTGTTTTTTCACTGTTTTTTACACATGGATACTACTTTGCCAGGAAAAGTACCTTCTGTTGTTTTGGGGTTTTGTTTGTTTGGTTGGTTTTTTTTGAGACACGGTTTCTCTGTATATCCCTAGCTGTCCTGGAACTCACTCTGTAGACCAGGCTGGCCTTGAACTCACAGAGATCTGCTACCACCGCCTGGTTGTTTTGTTCTTTTGGTTTTTTTAAATATTTATTTATTATGTATACAGTGTTCTGCCTGCATGTATGCCTACAGGCCAGAAGAGGGCACCACATCTCATTATAGATGGTTGTGAGCCACCATATGGGTATTGGGAATTGAACTCAGGACCTCTGGAAGAGCAACCAGTACTCTTAACCTCTGAGCCATCTCTCCAGCCCCCAAACTAGCTTTCTTATACTTCCCAGGACCACCTGTCTGGAACCCATAGTGGACTATGTCAATTATCAACCACCCTCACACTTGCTGATAGGCCACCTTAGTCTGGGCAATCCCTTAATTGAGAGGCACTTCTTAGGTACCTCTAGGTTGTGTTAAGTTGATAGTTAAAGCTAACTAGGACACATATACCTGTCACATAATAGTAGATGCTTAACATCCCCAAGTAATTTTCCCGACAATGGAAGTGTAATACTGACAGAGTAAAATGGACTGAAATACTGTCATTAGAAAATAGTATCTCCATGCTCAGCTATGTTCATAGCAGCACTATTCGTAATAGCCAGAACCTGGAGACATCCTAGATGCCCGTCAACTGAAGAGTGGATTAAGAAAATGTGGTACATATACACAATGGAGTACTTCTCAGCAGAGAAAAATAATAACAACATGAAATTTGCAGTCAAATGGATGGAACTAGAAAATATCATCCTGAGTGAGGTAACCCAAACCCAGAAGGACAAACATGGTATGTACTCACTCATAAGTGGATACTAGATATAAAGTAAAGAATAATCAGACTGCAACCCACAGAACCAGAGAGGATATATAGCAGAGGGGACCCTAGGATGACTGTGTGGCTTATAGTAAGTTTTGGTTTTACTCAATTACTGGGCAAGCCTCAATGGAACATTTCACTATTAGGATAAGAATTTATATTGTATCAAGCTGACAACAGAAAAATAAATAAATAAATAAAAATGGAAAAAAAAAGTCACACAGACAAAAAAAATAGCATCTCTAATCTGAATATTTACTCACCATTGTGTCAATCTCTTCCAAGATCTTCATGAACTGCTCAATTGTGGCCTTGACTTTCCTATCAAGTTTGCAGAGAGCCTCTGCTTGTAACTCCTTAGCCAGAAAACCCTGTGAAGGAATAAGGCACTATTGCACGTGTTTCTTGAGACTCATGGAAAACCATACCACTATACTGATGAAGTGACCCAGAGTTTACCATTGCTCTAATGAGCCAGGCTGAATCTCAGATCTTCGTCCCCTGGGAAAATTAGAAATGCTGGCCGTGGCCAGTCTCGAACCCTACCAGGCTGCAGGCTGCTCTTCTCATATGGTCCCCTGGGACTCTGAAGGCCTCTGGAGCTTAACTACAGTGTAGCCCTCAGTCCTAAGTGCACACATGCACATAAGAGGCAGACAGTAAGAGCACAGACTTAAATGCTGGGCAGCACAGCACAGCATGTGGACATCAAAGGCTGACATGGGGTATCTTTGTCAAACACTCTCTGTTTAGTGCATTGAATAGGAATGGCCCCCATCAGCTCACGTATTTAGGTGCTCCATTGTTACGGAGTGGCACTATGTGACAGGGATTAGGAGGTGTGGCCTTGTTGGAGTAGGTTTGGCCTTCTGGGAGTAAGTGTGTCATTGGGCTCTGGGTTTTCAAATGCTCAAGCTAGGCCCAGTGTCTCTCTCTTCCTGCTGCCATGTTCCAGAGGCAGAACTGAGCTATTTCTCCAGCACCATGTCTGCCTGCATGCTGCCATGCTTCCTGCCATGATGACAACAGACTAAACCTCTGAACTGTAAACCAGCCTCAATTAAATGTTTTCTTTTTATGACTTGCCATGGTCATGGTGTTTCTTCACAGCAACAGGACACTGACTAAGATACTCTGTCTTATTTTTTGAGACAGAATGTCTTGCTGAATCTGGAGCTTGCCCACTTTGGCTAGACTCTCTGGCCAGTGAGTGGCAGGGATCCTCTTTTCTTTGACTCCCCAGCATTGGCGTTACAGAATACGTCATCTTGTCAAGTTTCTACATGGATGCTGGGAATCTGAACCCCAGGTCCTGATGCTGTGTAGCAAGCACTTTATCAGCTGAGCCGTGTCCCCAACGTTGGCTTAAGATCTAAAACAAGTTAAACTTTCCATGTCTCACTGTTCTCGGATTATGGGATGTTGAAGGGAAGACATGTAGATGTTACATAACTCATGGCCCAGAGAGATCATGCGCTAACAGAGGATGACTATGTTGATTTTAGTTTGTCTTGAGACAGGGTCTCACAAGGTATAAACTGGTCTCCAACTCACCTCCTAGTCAATGTTGCCCTTCTCCTGATCCCCGCCCCTCCATCTCAGAAGAGCCAGGGCTATAGGCGTGCAGGACCACACCCAGCTCAAGCAGCACCTATTTTTATTAAACCCCTTCGCTGTCTAGTCACATCTCTAAGCCATCACCAGTTAGCTGGTGGCTGAGCTGAAAAGCAGGGATTTCTGAGGATGGCTATCAAAACAGAGTGACAAACGCATATTTTACAAGACATTGCAAGACACTCAAAAATTACTCAGAAATCCAAACTCAGTCCTATCAAAACCAAACAGCTGTTCCAAAAAGACTCATGTCCAAGGGCATTCAAAGAAGCATCATACGTAACAGAAAAAATTATTAGGTAAAACAACAGAGAATAGAAACTAGGTTAGGTAAACCATGATATGCAATAAATTATGACCATTGTCAATGACACAAAAAAATGTTAATTTTTTAATCAATAGAAGAACAATTTACCAAATGTACATCATATTGAATTTTTTGATAATAAGATGAAAACTATTTTTCAGAGTAACAATGTCTCTGGATCACAAGTCCTTACTTGCCACAAGAAGAGCAGTGAGGACAGAGTTTAGAATGTGACAGGCCTTGGTATGAATCTTTATCTGTACGTAAACTTAAACCCTGTACAAGCACCACAAATTATTATTGTTATTATTATTGCTATTATTATTATTATTGTTATTTTGGTTTCTAGAGACAAGTTTTCTCTGTGTAGTTCTGGCCATCCCAGAATTCACTCTGTAGACCAGGGTGGCCTCGGACTCAAGAGATCTGCCCAACTCTGCCTCTCATGTGTTGGGATTAAAGACGTGGCCACCACTGCCCAGCACAAATTAATTTTACAATTAAAGCACAAAACAGGACTGGAGAGATGGTTCAGTGATTAAGAGTATGTACTGCTCTTCTAGAAGACCTGAGTTGCGTTCCCAACACCCACATGGAGGCTCACAACTTCGTGTAACTCCAGCTCTGGGAGAATCTCGGACCTCTGGCCTCCCTGACCACCAGCACTCATGTGCACATACTCCCACACAGACACACACAAACACATAATACATACATAATTTAAAATGAAATAAATCTTTTTTTAAAAAGCCAACCAGGTAACAATACTATACCACTAAATCCACAGAATTCTTAGAGATAAGTCACCTGCTGGATGCCAGAAAGCTCTTTATTCAACTCTTCCAGGTGGTTAGCTGTCTTCTCTACAGATACTTCCAAATCTTTCAGCTTCTTTAACTCAACCTCTTCCTCTGGATTGCTCTAACAGGAAGAATAAAACAGAGGTCAGTAATCACAAAGGCCAGCTGCCTCTGTCAGAAGAAAATCTGACCACCACTGGGCTAAGCCACTCACTGAGAAGGATGCTGCTTCTTGGAGAGCATGTCAAAGGGTTGGACAACGAGGCTTCCTACCTATGAAGCCTAGTCCAGAGAGAAGGAAGGTGGGAGGCAAACACTCCAGTCAGTGAGAATCCTGCTGACTTATGCTCAGAGAATGGAGCCAATCCAAGTGTCAGACTGAGCCTCTGTCTTGGGCTGATCCAAACATTGAGATTAGAGTGAAATCAAAGACCAGAGAGAAGGCACTACTCTCCCAGAGGACCTGGGCTCAGTCCCTAGCACCACACAGAGGCTTACAATCTTCTGTAACTCTAGTTCCTCTGTGGCCTACATGGGCACCAGGCATGCACACAGTGCACACATACAAAAGTGGGCAAACACTCATACACATAAAACAGGTTAAATAAATCTTTTAAAAAGAAAGAGAGTATGCAAATTCAAGTGAATGCCACTAAGGAGTCCAGAATGAAAAGTCAGGCAGAATTCAACCAGTCCTTGGTTTTGTGTTGAGACAAGATCTCACTATCTAGTCTTAAATTCCTTCCTCCCATCCCAGCTTCCTAAGTGTTAGGATTACAGATGATGTATTAGCATGCCCAGCAGTATGACAAATCTTTCCCCCAAGAGGCAGTGTTTCAAATTAGACCAGGGTGGCCTCAAACTTATTATATAATGGGGGCTGATCTTGAACTCTTGACCCAGCTGCCTCCATGTGTCACCATGTGCTTTTTTGTTTTGAAACCCTACCACAATCCTATGAGGCAGGAACTTATGGTTACCCCAATATCTGGCTCCTGGTTTTTTATTATAAGACCATTTAGGATTTGTGTAACAGGAACCGTTTTACAGATAATGTAGTAAACTGACCTAAGATCCAAATGGCCAGATGTGGCTCCCCGCTCTTAACCAGCTCCAACTGAAACCATGGGTACTGGCTGCTGCCCACACCCCTCTCCCCACCCCTTCCGGGAGACATTTAGAACATTCTCCTTCCTTTCACCCACAGCGGGCAGCTTTGTTACACTCCCCTAAACTGTTCATTCTTCTTTGTGGCCAAATCTGGAGCCCGGTCCCCTGGAGGCTCGGGGTGAGGTTAGACCCCCAATCCTCCCGATAGCTCCTCCCTCCCTGCCTTCAGTGGACTCGGCCACCTCCCTCTAAGTGAGACACCTTCGGAGTGCAGTGTGCCACTGTGTCACAATGCAGGGCTGGGCACAGCACCACCACAGCAGGGCCGCAGCCCACACCCGTCACCAACTAACTTATCCTTGTCCCCGCAGCTCTTCAGTCGGAGCCTTCCCACTCAGAGGGGTTTCTTCTGGTAGAAGTTAGTAAAAAGAGCAGTTAAAGGAAGGCAGGCTCCTAAAACCTGAACAAGAGTTCTTACGGGTAGCATCTACAGCTTCACAAATAGCCTTCCTGAAAATTCTAAGTAAAGCCTGTTCCTGGCACATCTGAACTACCCCAAGGATTCACCAAATGCACCATACCATTAAGGTAGCACAACCCCTAGAGCGCGAGCCTAATCAACAGGTAGACATGCACAAATAATGCGACAACCAAACTGGTAATCTCATCAGACCTCATTTAAGGGGGCAGGTCACCAATGTGAATCTGGGTAGCCAACTGGGTTTTTTTTTTCCCCTGTCTGGTTTTTCAAGACAGGGTTTCTCTGTGTAGCCCTGGATGTCCTGAAACTCACTCTGTAGACCAGGCTGGACTCGAACTCAGAGATCCTCCACCTCTGCCTCCCGAGTGCTGGGATTAAAGTGTGCACCACCACCACCACCACCACCACCACCACCACCACCACCACCCAGCCAATTTGGTCTTCTATACGGAACCATGTATAAAGAGTTTAGTCATGCAATTCTGAAGAGTTTTGACAGAGAAAGCAATTTACCTTTTCCCCAATTAACATGACTCGGCAACCATCTTGTATTCCAAGTGCTGACAATGGTATGTCCATTTCTTTCAGAGATTTTCCTGAAAAGAACAAAGGCATGCAAAATCATAATATCTGCACACCACTGAAAACAGACTTTGGCTAATTAATGTACGTGAAAAAGAGGTGAGATTAAAGCCCCACCACTAACTGTGGAGCTATTGGCATTTAATAGCTGGGGGAAAGAGTGTGACCCCTGATAGGCCCACCTCACTCCAGGGCAGGTCCTGTATCCTGGATTGTGTTTGGGCAACACAAACTGGATTCAAATTGGGGGGGGGGGGGATACAAGCAAGGAAGTGAGTCTGATCAAATACACTGTGTGAAATTTTCATAAAACTAATAAAATATTATTCAAAAACAGAAATACAAGCCGGGCGGTGGTGGCACATGCCTTTAATCCCTGTACTCGGGAGGCAGGCAGATCTCTGCAAGTTCAAGGCCAGCGTGGGCTACAGAGTGAGTTCCAGGAAAGGCTCCAAAGCTACACAGAGAAACCCTGTCTCAAAAAACAAAAAACAAAAAACAAAAAACAAACAAACAGGGGGCTGGAGAGATGGCTCAGAGGTTAAGAGCACTGGCTGTTCTTCCAGAGGTCCTGAGTTCAATTCCCAGCAACCACATGGTGGCTCACAACCACCTGTAATGAGATCTGGTGCCCTCTTCTGGCCTGCAGTCATACATGCTGTATACATAATAAATAAATAAATCTTTAAAAACAAACAAACAAAAACAAAAAAACAAACAGAAACACAAATCTAATCTAAAAAGGAGGCCTGAGAGATGGCTCACTAGATAAGAGCAGTGACTACCCCTCCAGAGGACCCAGACAACTGGGCATGGTGGTGCACACCTACTCTGAGCACTCAGGAGGCAGAAGCAAGCAGATCTCTGTGAGTTCAAGCCTAGAATGGGCAGTAGACTAAGACCAAGTTCCAGGCCAGCACAAACTACATAATGAAACCCTGTCTCAAGAACAACCCAAACCAACCAACCAACCATCCAAAAAGCTTCATGTTTGCTAACAAGAAAAGGAGAAATTGGAATTTTTTTTGAAAATGTCTTTATCTGATAATGTCATTTCTAGATATTTATCCAAAACAAGTAACTGGAAATATGTCTATGTAGTAGTTATTAAAAATAATATCCAGGAACAAAGGATTAATATAATTCATATAACAGACATTTCTTTAAAAATTTTATTATGGTTTTGTGTGTATAGGTATTTTGCCTGAATGTATGCTTGTGCATCATATGTGTGCCTGATGCCAGTGGAGGTCAGATCCCTGGAACTGGAGTTACTAACCAGTTTAGAGCCTCCATATGGATGCTGGGAATTGAACCTGGGTCCTTTGGAAGGCAAGACAGTGCTTTTAATTGCAGAGCCATCTCTCCAGCCCCTAAGGGTTTTAAGGTTATTTATTTATTTATTTATTTATTTATTTTTGAGATAGGGTTTCTCTATGGGACAGCTCTGGCCGTCCTACAACTCCATTCTCCAGCCCCAACAGATCATTTCTGTACAATACAAGACTTGGTAGTCATGAAAGCTCTTTTCTTCTCAGGATACTTCACTGAATGCGGCTAAACTCAATGTTATAAAAAAGAAAATGTAAAACACATGGGCTGAGGATAGGGCTTAGTGGTTTGGTACTTGCCTAGCATGTTTGATTGAGCTGCTACAGTACCATAAAAAAAAATTAATAAGGAACTTTATCCAGGAGAACATTTTCTTTGTGCTGTTTTGAAACTTGATCTTTCCTTTACATTCTCTGACCTTCTTCCCCTCCCGCCTCCCCACTCCCTTCTCTCTGACTATATTAGGTTGGCATGGAGCTAGTCTGAGTTTCCAGAGTGCGGGGGTTATAGGTGTGTGCTACTGTACTCAACTCTGAAAGATAAGTTTCTATTGTCCTTATAATTCAAAAATTAAATTATTTAAAAAGAAAAAGACATAGGGCAAGGTCATGCATATTACCTAGCCAGTTCCACAATGGCTTGGCCTATAGGAAACTATCACTTTCTCACCAAGAAAAAGGCAAAGATCTATACTATGAAATATAAATAAAAATGCTTCCTATTACTATAGTCAAAAGTTTTATCCCTGCCATAATGTTTATTATTAAATTCTTTACAATGACCAAAACCTAATGAGATAAATCTGGTCCTATCATGTACCAGAATAATGGGTTCCTATGGGAGTGAGAAGGCTGAGGATAGGGAGGGATGGGGAGGAGCCAGTGCCTCAGAAATCAGCATCATCCAGCACTCTGCCCATCCAGGCTCCATCCAGTTTGTTCAAAGCCTCTCTAATCAGCACGATGTCAAGTCCTGGCAACAGTAGTGTCTCTGCTGTCACACTAACAGAAACTGGGTATCAGGCAACTAAGGTAACATTTACTTAGTAGTATGTTCAGCACAATCATGCAGAACATATAATGGGGGGGGGGGGGAATCTAGCCTAGCCAGAGAAAACTGTCCATATGTTTCCTGAAAAAAAGTTGACATTTCTGTCATCATGCTACTCCAAATCTGATACTCATCCAGATGTTTGCAAAGTCTAGTGAAGAGCAGGTTCTTAATCAATACCTGTTAAACGAATGAACAAAAGAAAATGGTTCTGGTTTAAACACTGAAAAGTGAGGGCTGGAGAGCTGGGCTGGAAAGCATTTGTTGCTCTTACAGAGCACCAGGGTTCAGGTCCTAGCACCCACATGGTGGCTCACAACCATCTGTAATTCCAGACCCAAAGAAGCTGACATCCTCTCCTGGCCTTGAACAAACCTGGTACACAGACATGTATACAGGCAAAACACCCATGCACACATATACACATAGAAAACTGAAAGTCACTAAGCAATTTAAAAATCTGTCCTTACTAGGGTGGTGGTGGCACATGCCTTTAATTCCAGCACTCAGGAGGCAAAGGCAGGTGGATATCTTGAGTTTGAGGCCAGCCTGGTTTACAGAGCGTGTTCCAGGACATTTCAGGCCTACACAGAGAAATCTTGTCTTAGAAAACCAAAACAAACAAACAAATAAAATGAAATCTGTCCTTTAGCCATAAGTACTCAAAAATGAACGAGAAATACCCACCCTTAAAGATGAGCTTCTGAAAAGGGATCGGAACCCCTGTGGCCTCTTCAACAAGCTGAGCTAGGTCTTGGACAATTGGTTCACTATTGCCCTGCTGTGGGGTAACAAGAAGGTCATACCTCTCATTGCCTGGAGAGAAAGAAAAGCATTAAAAATGAAGATAACTCTTTCACATAAACCTAAAAATAAGTTGATGCTTTCTTATGGAGCTGAGGATTGAATTCAGTGCCTCAGGTTTGCTGGGAAGTGCTCTACTAATGAGCTATGTCCCCAAGGCACAGCTCAGATGCTACCTATTACAAAGCTTTCCTTTGGTGACCTTCTCTAAGATTTGTTTCCTCTAACATAAAAAAACTATTTTAATAACAGCTGACATTTTATGCAATCATACATAATGAGATGTACAAGACTTGTTTCACGCATTATCTGAAAACTCCAGGACAACACCATAAAGCAGCTATCAATTTAATTAAGACTTGCTTGGGGAAACCTTCAACTGGCAGATTCAGAATCTGCCCTTAGATGCAGCTGATTCCAAAGTCTACACTCTGCCATCACAAGCTGCCTGTATCCTGTAGTCTGAATGCCCTAATGTCTCGAAGGCATCAGTTTTGTCTCCCCTGATTCACCCACCAGCAAGGGACTGTTTTCCTCCAAGTCTTTCTTACTGGGCACACCTAAGTACATCATAATTAGTGCTTAGTAAAAACAAACGAATGAATCCATTTTTTTTTTTTTTTAAACACAGGTGTCAATTCTTTTCTAAGTAGGTGGAGTTCAGGTCCAGCTTATTCTCCCAATTGACTCCAGGGTCAGAAGGAGTCCTAGTTCCCATCTGTGCTTCACAGACCAGAAATCAGAGCCCTTAAAAAAAAAAAAAAAAAAAAAAAAAAAAGAAAGAGGGAAGAGAAAAGCCTCATTATATATAAGGCTGCTGGACACAGAATCATGGCTTCCAGC